TGCCTTTGCCTTGGCATGAGCAATGTTTGTGCCTCCAGTGATGATCTGGCTTCAGGAAATTCAGTGGCTGAATTTGAGGAGGTCTTCCAAATTCTAGCATCCTCATTTGAACTCTTTCCACCCACTTTGTTCAGAAAAATCAAGCTGGAAACTTCATGCAAATGTTGGTGGGTTTGTTCGATTTTGTAGATTTTCAACTTCCTGTTGAATTACAACCAGAAGCTGCTGTGAAACTGGAAAAGAAAGGAAAAAGAGGAAACCACTTAAAAATAGGTTTCCTTGTGGGGTTAAGCTGAGAATTTAAGGAGGGGTTGGCTTGTTCTTCCTTAGTTTTATGTATAAGCAGTGTAACAAAGGCAAATTGGAGAAGAATCACCATGTCCTAGTACAGTTTATACTAATGTCACTGTATTGGGCAACACCTGGAACTTAAATATTTCAAAGTAGAAAGAGCTGTTCTTGTACTGAAGCAAAGCTTGCGGCTGATTCCCATTCTAGAAGCAGAACATGGCACCTGTAGTTGCTAGCAAATCCTGCCCGTGTTCTCTGCTTCTGTGCCAGTGTTATTTGTCTATCCTAACCACTTAAATATATGCCTGGGCTGTAAAATTTACAGGGCACAATTACAGTAGTTTTCTGGCTCCCAACAAGAGTTGAGCTAAGACCAACTTCTTGCTGGAACTGTAGAACCCACTGGGTCTGAATTCATTCCAGCATTTGATGGATGACTAGGTTTCTCCATGGGGACAATTAATTTTGCTTCTATAGGGAACCTTCAAGCTTATCTTTAGCAAAAATGGCCTCTCAATGACTGAATAAAATAGCTGCTTTCCATTTGCTTTAGGAGATATCTTGCATTTCTTATTCCCAAAAGGCAATCACTAGAGCAGAGTGGGGAAGCTGGAGATTTTCTTATTCCTTTCACTGCTTTAGGGGCCATAGGGTTAATTTAGCAGAGCATTCTTATCTCCAAACTGTAGCGATATATGTTCTTGGCATAATGAATCAGTGGAGTGGCATCAACAAAGATATTTAAGCAGATAGACAGAAAGATAAATCTCTTTGTTCTGCCTGGTAAGCAGTGTGTTGCTCATCATGTTTCAGGTTTACTGTAATTCAGTTTTGTGATTAAATATGCTTCATGTTTTCAAGTGGTCCCTGTGCTCCTGGCACACACTTTAAAGGGGACTGGAATGTAAGGAGGGCTTCAGAAGTGTCCAGAGAAACACTGGCAGTCATGGGACTTTATCTACTAGACTGAAACCCTGGGTTTAGAGTCTGTCTTTGTCCTCTAACACGAAATCAGAGCTCTGCTGAAACTGGATTTCTTTCTAGTATTATCTTCTTGTTAATGTAGATTCATTTTTAACCATCTGAAGCCCCTTTGTGCTGTGTGTTCATTTCAAATGTTCCTGCTTACTGCACAGATGATTCAGGCTGGATATTCTGTGCTGCAGTGCTTAAACTTTCCCTGGTTAGCATCCCTGCCTTGCAAGCCAGAAGTGGAAGGTCAGTTTTAGAAACAAGGGGAAACTAAGATGGCACTGACTATTCCCCTATCACCCATCCCAGCCTCTGCAGGCAAAGTGAAATTCTTGCACAGAAAACAATCTGCCAGTGGCAGGTTTGGGAAAGGTTGTGAAGATAGTGATTCCATCAAGAGACGCCAGAATAAGATTAGGAAGACAGACTCAGAGCAGGAGAGTCAGAGATGGCTCAGGTCTCATCCAATAGTTAGTTTATTCAGTTTTAATCAGTTTGTTGAGATTTAATCAGTGAATTTATGTATGCAAAATACTAAACACAGATGGACTGATGGTCAATGCTATTTACTACACTTAAAGCTATTGTGGGATCCAAAGATTATTGTGTAAGCTTACTATAAGTGTCTTAAAATATTACATGTATGAAAAAATGTCACCGTTCTGTTAGCTCAAACAGGAGGAGTGCATCTGTCTCACAAATCAAGCATTGCATCAAAATAGAAAGCACCATCCCTGGGCACTTCTGAAAGCTGTGTGGAAGGAGGCCTTTTATTTCCATTGAACACTGGCCATACCCAAAGAATAGGAAAGGGACTAATGAAAGAATAACAGCAAATGGTCAAAAGACATAGAACATCTTACCATTTACCACATAGAGTATGCATACTGACTCCAGGAGGGGTGGGCTCTTGCTGCCTACAAATCTGTGCAGTGCTGCTTGTACCTGTATGATTCATTTTCACCACCTGTATTTGTGCCAAAATCTAGATGGATGGTCATGCAGGTGCATCCTTAGATGGAGAGACCAACAGAGACAGGTGGGGAGGCCTCCTTTTTCCATTCTGCCTTCTGGAGAGCTTGGCATACTTCCTCCTTCATTTATTCACTATTTTATTGGCTATGCAACTGAAAAAATGGTAAGAAAAACACTGACAGCACAGGAGAGGAGAATCAATAAAATCGGACAGGAGGAGCAAAATGAATGTGGTTTTTGCCCCTTCAGCAAGTAATTTTCATTGCCTCTGATCTCCTCCTCACAGAACAGACTGTCTCAGCTTCACTTTTCAGAACAACTGTTTTGATCTTAAGGGTGATAAGTACTACAGAAAACATGAGGGGAAACAGCTCAGCTTCCTCCCTGCTTTCCATCCAGTGATAAAACTGAAGTATGGGACAGTTGTGTGTTCTGGTCCCTATGGAGCTGGGATTCAAACAGGGAAGCCTCTCTCGAAAGATGTAAGGAAAACATCACAAACACATCTTATGATAATTCTATTCTTATTTTTTTAATAAATTCTCCAAGGAGCAATACCCATAGTGCTTTCCAACATTTCCCTTGTCCTATCGACAGTGACATAGAAAGCTTAGACTTCAGGCACTGAATGCAAGGGGCTATAAATCCCTAGATTTAGTCCAATTTCATCTACCTCTGAACAGTTCAGGGCAGCTCTGAGTCTGATCTAAATTGTCCCTGCCTTACGCTCCCTGACTCTCTTCTTCTTCTTGTCATGTTTTATATAGTTATTGACTTTTACAGAGCTTCCTGAGTAATTCTTCAAGGAAGATTGACTGATTTAAGGGGTTAGTCATCCTGCAGGTTAGTAAACATGACAGCTGGTTGAGGATTAACAGGAAATCATGAATAAAATCATTGGGATTGATAAGGGATTCTCAAGCAATTAAAGTCTTCTTGCAGAAAGTAAAATAGAAAAAAACCCGAACAGTGAAGGTCAAAGGAGAAGGATGACCTACATGCTGACAGTCACTGAGTCCTGAAATACAAGATGTACTGGCAGAGTTAGTGTGAGATGGTTAACAACAAGGGGATAAATGCTAGAGAGAACTGCAGGCCAAGGTGCAGGAGAATTGGCAGAGCTGTGTAAGACTGGAATAGCTGTGGGACCAGCAGGTCAGTGCAGGGGCATGTCAGCAGGGTGGTGTGAAGGTGCAGAGCAAGATTAAAATGAGCAGGGAAACTGGCCTGGGGATGCTGTCTATTGCCTGCCCTGTGGTGCTAATGGTAGAGAAAATTGCAGGATGACCACTCACTTCTCCAGATAAGAATTTGCTCATGGGATGCAGAGACCAGACAGATGACTTCAGGTGACTTCCTCCCACTTCCAAACACCTCTATCTACCTCATCACTGTGATTGAGGTTTGCTGCCTACTAGCTGCTTCCTGCTTAATATCTGGCTGGCTTCCCTTGTTACTAATCTCCTGCATGCAGTATCTTTCTGTTCTCTCTCTTAACCTCCGGCTCCTTTTCCTGTACTGTAAATCCCCACTGATGACTTTAACGTTCCAGGTGTGAGGGGCTCTGGCACTTTGGTTTAATGAACTGGAAATGAATTGGAACCTACTAACACTGGAGAACCTGTACCAAGAGCCATCTGTTGTGAGCTGCAAATGCTGCTTGGTATTCAGGATGCTGAGCTCCAGTCTTACATATGCTACCTGGCTCCTTGGTTGATTACTGAGCTTGTGACAGCTTCTAATGTGTGTCACAGTGAGGAATGTCAGGACCAGTCAGGAAAACATGTTTGGTTTGAAGGGAGGGAGCCTTGAGGCTCATATGGCTTCATGTTTGTCCTGTGGGTCAGGGCAATGAATGCAGTGGGCCAAGGGGTGTGTTTTAGAATACTCATTGGAATTTGTATGTTATCACAAGTTTTATAATCTTTTAATTTTATTCTGGTGTCCAAGATCTACATGATTAAGGGGACACTGCAGCTTTCCTTTTATTTCTTATAAAGCCTATATTAATTTAGTTTAATTTTATTTTTTGCCCATGCAGTAAAGCTTTTAAAAGGCACATTTAGGTAATGTTTAAATCTTAGAGCTGTGAAGCAACAGAAAGGAAGCCGAAAATGCTGTTGCTTATGTTTGCGTTTTGTTAACCTTTTAGTGTTGGTTTGCACAATAGTTTGATTTATGGCTTTTATTATAGAGGAATATGTGGGAACACATTTAGAAGTCAAACATAATCTGTGACAGGGTTGTACAGCTACAAGGTTTTTGTGTTTCTTGATCTCCATAAGGTGTTATCTCATGACTGAAGTACAGCACTATGTGAAGTTTATATGACTTGCTGTTGGCTAATCTTAGTGTTCTTCAGCTTTTCTCACTCCTCAGGAGCTTTCTTAGTTTCAGGTGTAATTGTGTTTAAGTTTATTAGTGCTTTGTAGGAGATTTGGGCTCTGCCCATTCCCCACCTGTGGTTTGGTTCATCTGGAGGGTTCTGGAGCAGCCATTTTCACCTAGACAGAAGAGAGACTGCTTCCTTTGTTTCCATGTATGATTCCAAGAGCCCAGCTCATGCTTAGCAAATAAAACCATCTTAAATTGTAAAAATAACCAAGTAAAAAACAAACCCCTCCCTCCCCCCAAAAAAACAAACCCAAAATTTTATTTTTCTGAGACCTTTAAGCAAGAATAAACAGGTCATAAACTCTGAGTTTAAACAAGGTATCAAACAGGATGAGTAGTGTAATTCAGCCTGTTATCTTCCTTTTCAGAGTCTAACAGCCGACGGGCAGTGAGCAGAGGCTACCTGGGTGGATTGCTGAGGCTCTATCAAGACTGGCATCGCAATGATGTTTCCAACAACTACATCTACATTCGTAGGGGTCTCCTGCTCTGCCTGAAGCACATCACCAACATCCAGCTGGGCAGGGAGACTTTCCTTTGTTCCAAGGGGATGGAGATTCTCTTTACAAGTGTACAGGTAAATGGTGCTTTAGTAGCAAAGTGAGATAGATTAGATAGTGCTGGGTTCTTCCTCACAGTCCAGCAAATTCCATATTTTTATCATGAATTTATATAACACATCAATGGAAAACATGGTAATGTTAAAATATATTTAATTTTTCACAGTAAATAATTCAGAAAAGCTGAAAAGTTTCAGTTTGAAACTAATTCCTACTGAACCTGATGGGAATTGTAGTTCAGGCTTCTTAATGCCCTTTATTTCCCCTTTCTGCCCTGTGGATCCTGCTGTATGTTGGTACTTCCTCTCCCAAAGAACAGTGCAGTGTCTCCACAGAAGAGTTGCTTACGTGTTTCATGGGATGTTTTCTTTCAGGTATCCAGATGGATAATTACACCCAATCAGTTTCTTACGCACAAAAAAGTTATTTAAACAGGCATTTGCTAATGAGAAACTTCCATTAACTCTTTTTCAGGAGTCCCCATTTTTAATCTTGTGTGGGTTCATCAAGAAAGTTGACGTGATTCTGAAGGTGGGATCTCTCTGAGGTATAGAAAGGGCAGGTTCAGAACAGTAACAGTTTCCTCCCACATGCTGCTTTAGCCTTGTTTGGAAAAGTTGCGTATAGAGAAATCTCATCTATGTGATTCTATGAGAAGTGTTTCCATTGTCATTCTTACTGACTCATCATCTCATTCAAGCACCATCACAGACAGTACGAAAAGCCTGCCCCTTCTCCTACAGAAAACCCACTGCCTTATGATCCAGTGTATTTGCTTCTTCACCTTTACCATCACTGTAATAAATAATTCTCCTGTGACTGAAAGGTATTTCTTACTGGCAGTAGAGTGTATGCTGGTAGAGTTGTCACTTCATTGTCCTCTTGAGGACTTGACCAGCTTTTCGAGTGGGATGAGGTGGCCAGAATCAGATCTTTAAAGAGAGTATGGCTTCCTTAATGAGAAGTCCTTGATCTGCAGAAACTTGAATAGGATGGATGGCAACAGCTGCTTGAGGGTAGATGTCAGCTTGTTCCCTCTCAAGAGCCTTCTATAGCCCATGTAGGTTTCTGAGCTAACATCTCCTGATAGCTCAGCCTGGGAGCAGCCCCATGGGAAGTGCAAGCATGGGGTCACCTTGGGTGAACAAACAGGAAGTGGCACACTAAGACTCCACTGAACATTGATAATACTAATCCTTCCAAAGGTTAGAAGTGGAGCGGAAATGACAGCTTCAGGGGCCTCCAGTTTGCTGTCTCCTACTGTGCGCTACCAGGGACATCATGGAAGGAGAATTACCAAGGTTAATAAATGCAAAGCTCAACGTTCCCCCAATACTTTTTGGGATACTGTGAGTCTTAAAGTGTCTCTTCAAGACATGAAGTGTCAGGAGGACTCTGGCAGCCCTCAGAGATCTTGCTCATGCTCTTCTCTTACTCTGTCCTGAGGTAGAGGCTGCTGCTGCTCCTATCTGAAATTTTCATGATAGACAGAAAATGGGAAATGTATTCTCTTGAGAGGAATTTTGTGCTGTAGGAAGAGTAAAAGAGATGGAGACAGGGCAAGACAAATAACTTCTCCTTGGAAAAGCAACGACTCTTTGTCTGTAGACAGTATTTTAGCGCCTTTAGGTATTTGCTGGCTGTGGTGATTAGCCTTGACCAACCTCTGAGCAGCTAATGAGATTTTAAAGGTGTTAAAAGCTGCCTAGAAAAGTTCTGCTGGAACCATTTTATAATTTTTCTTTGCTTGTTTTAACAGCCTGCAGTGGAATTCCTATTTACAAGGCTGGTTTTAAACTGAAACCTCCCTAGCTGCTTATTGTATGGACTGACAGATAGCTGAAGTGCCTGAGCTTTTAATAGCCCATAAGGCTGTGTCATTACAGGAAGAGCCAATAGTTCATATACTGTCTCCTTACATAGATTAGATGTGACTGCTACTTGAGGAGAATTTAGAGATATTTTGGGTCTGGCTCCTACCTGGAAAAAAATAATTTTAGATAATGAAATCATTTGTGGAAAGGAAGCACTTTCTGCTCCCATTTCTTCTTCTAAACTTGGCTTAGACTTTCATGGCAGTTAAATGGCATATCCACATTAGCAACTGGCTGGCTCCATATGTAGTGACAGGGAGTTGCCTACTCTGAGACAAGAAAACAGGTTTGCATCGCCTTTAAGAGACTGGTGCATGGAATATCAATTTGCTGTTTTATCCCTGTCTGATTTCTTAAGCTTGCCTCATTTCTCTTCAGCCTTCCTGTACTAGGGCCTACTCTAAGATAATATTATTCACTTTATGCTTCCCAGTAGTAACATCCATGTGTTGAAGTCCTGTCTTCCTTGTTCTAGTAAAACCAAAACAGTTTTAGTAAACCAGAGTGAGATTGTTCAAGAATGTCTACATGTAGCAATAGAATAACAATCCTCTCTTATCTTTTCGTTAACAAGCAAGCTAAAGCAACCAAACACCACATGAACAAGTGAATAGATTGAAACAGTAGAAACAAGCAACAAATTCTCCTTAGTGTTTGCTCTAAACATAATAAAACTTTCCTTGGAGATGCTTTCAAAACTGTATTTTTTCTTCCCTTGTGCATAACAGGCAGAGATCTAGAAATAGGCATTAAGATTCTTGTAATGACTCTAGTAAGCATGTTGGCTTTAGCTGATTTTTTCTAACCTCCCTCCAGGAATCCTGGTTAATTCCACTGAATCTTCTAATGCCGTTCAATCATACATGAGAAAACAGAATGAAGTCCTGTATGACTAAAAAAACCAAAATCTTAATACAGACATTTTCCTATAATAAAGTACTTTAGGCTCATAGAAATGTTTAGGTTGGGAAAGAGCTGTTAAGATCATCAAGTCCAACTGTTTACCTAGCACTGCCCAGTCCACCACTAAAACCATGACGGACAGGCTGCTAACTGGATGTAACTCCTTTCACTACTACTCTTTAGGTTCAGCCATCCAGACTGTTTTTCAGCCATCAAACAGTACATCCAGGCCATGACCAGATAGTTTCTTTGGGAGAATGCTGTGGGAAATGGTGTCAAATGTTTTACTAAATTCTAGGTAGTCACCATCCACTGCCTTTCCCTCATCTACTGAGCAGGTCACCTTGTCATAGTAAGAGATCACATCAGTCACGCAGGACCTGCCTTTCAATAAACCCATGCTGACTGAGCCTGGTCATCTTCTTGCCCTCTACATGCCATGTGATGGCACTCAAGGTGATCTGATGCATAACCTTCCCTGACACTGAGGAAGTTATTGACAGGCCTGTAGTTCCCTGGATCCTCCTTCTGTCTCTTCTGGGGGATTATGTGTAATAGGACAATTGCAAGGGACAACTCTCAATGTTGTTCTCCTTTGATTCCTAGGACTGTTTATCTTGCAAAAACCTGGATCCTATCATAAACACCGTGACTCAGATTCTGAGGAAGTGCTACCCCAAAGAGCCTCTGCCTGTGGTGACAGTGAGAAGTTCCTATTCCTTCCCTCTTCCCGGGAATGCCAAGGTTGAACCCCCGTGTGAGGGATCTGAAGGTAAGTGGCTGAAGGGTGAGTTCAGTAAGAGCATAACATGAGAATTAAATGTGGCATCTGAGGAAGAGGAGTCTTGACAGCCTTGTCCTGAGTTGTACAGTTAAAATCTGATGGCTTAGAGTTTTATTCAGTAGAGATAAAACTACTCCCAGGTCTTCTCAGAGCTTGGAGAATGAGAGAAGAGTAAAAGGAGCAAGGTAAAGGGGAAAAAAAACCAAGTTCTTCTATTATCCAAAAAATAATGAAACAAAGTTGGCACGACAGAGGCTGGAGGTGCCATTGCTCTAACACCAGCACAGCGACAGAGGTACTGTGTTTGTGCATGGCTGTTTGGGGGGGAAACACTGCCCTGCTTCTTTTTCAGTAAAGAATTGCAGGAATTATCCTTTTTCCTTTCTGAAATTAAAGCAGATAGCAATAATGCTGCACGAGTGAAAGATGGGAGCGCTTGCTGAAAAGCAGAACTGAAGCGCAGGCATGACAGCCACACAACCCACGGAAGAGGAGAAACGGTAGACCCTGTGGTACACACAAGCAATTTCTCTGTTGCTTTCAGTTTCATATGGAAGATGCTCAAATAATATAACAATGATGGCAGTAAAACATCCTAGTCTAGATAATATAGATTAAGAGCATCCTGTAATATTATTGCAGCCAAGCAGAAAATCTCTGTATTGCTTTGTAATAGGAGTTGGATCCATATCATGGTGACATTTGTCATGGTTTTGAAAGGCAGTGCTTGAGTCCAAGAGAGCAGAGCTTTAAAAAGTGGGAGATTTAGTGCCAAATTCATTTATATTAAATTAACAAATGGGATCTTTTCTAATCAGGGTTGTGGTGAGTTGTAGCTTGAAGGCATGTGGCACACTAGAAGAGGTTGTACCTACTTCTGTAGAGGGCCTGAGGGGGGGGTATTAGATTGAACACCTTTGCCTGTTTTCTACTTCTGCAGGTGACTATGAGAGTGATGGAGAGGAAGAGGCTGAAAAAGACCTGGATAGTGAGGAAGAGGAGAGTAAGGAGGAAGTAGGTATATGAGCCATTTCATTAATCATCCACATACTGGAAAGTAAACTTTTCATTGTCTGTTTTGACATCCTGATAAGCTGTCAAAACACAGAGTGTAGATATGCATGTGGTCCCACATAAATACACTACACAAATAATAGAGGATACTTGAAAGAAGGAAAAGAGAAAGCATTAACTTTCATTGAAGAGAGTCTCCTGTATTTGTCTTATTAATTGCCATGCTTGTCACCCGGGATGGTGTGGGTTTGGTGGCTTCTGTGTTCCTGTAGGGAGACTGATCAGTGACTATTATAATCATGTGCACTGTCAGGGATAAACGATGGATCCTTGATTCCTCCAGGTATAGAGCAGAAAAGGCACTTAGTGGAGAAAACAGAATTATCATCTAGAAACCCTTTTTTTCTTCCCATATCAGAGCATATTTGGCTGTGCATCAATCCTAAGCAAAAGGTCAGTACTTTTAAGCCACAGCTGAGGCATTTGAACCTATATTTCTTCTTCATTTGCTGCTGCACATAGACAAATAATACAATGAATTATTCAATACTTTTCTGACTTCTCCCTTTGCACTCTTCCTACCGTGATGTAACTTGCAAAAAAGCCCTCTATCAGCTGAGGATGAGTGTGCAAACGTTTCTGTTGTGAAAATACACAAAAGCACATATGCACATGTGAAGTGGTGAATGCTGCTAATAGGTCTTTGCCACATAAAGTGGTTTGGGAAAGCATATTAAAGAAATGGAGTTGCAAACACAGTCTAATTAGATATGATTGAGACTTTGTGGAAGGGCATTTTCTTTACTTGTCTTGTCTTTTTCTCCTCAAGTATTAAACTGATGTCAGTCAATGAAGAAAATGAAGCTAAGAGAAAAAATACCACATTAGCTCAGTGTCCTAACTTGGCCCTGTCTGTCTGGTTTTAGCTGAATGTTACAGCTCGTTAAGACACTCATTAAGGATAAGGTTCATAGTGAATTTATCTCCTTCTTTAATTAGTTATTCATTCAGAAAGAGATCCTATAGTCCTATATGTCTCTGAACTATTTCATTATTCATAATATTTTACCAAGTAGATGTGATCATCAGGTTTGTTTTTATTTTTGCCTGAGAGCTTGCTCTGAGTATGAGTTTTAAGTACTGTTTGTCTGGCATACTGGTCATACATCTCTTGTGACAAATCTTTCTAAAGGCAAAGCAATCAGGGAATGGATAATGAACTTTCAGTTTACATTTTTTGTGTGTCTGTGTGTGAGCTATCATTTGCACAATATTTCCTGGCATTGATGTGATGTACAAACATTTTCAAGGCTACTTAACACATATCTATGTATCCTATAATAGCAATCAAACTTAAACTTGGCTCAACACTTCCATCAGTAACTGTTCAGACAGTTCCATGAAAATCAAAATCATTACATCAACCATTTAGCCTTCCCAACCCAAATCTTCATCAAGCTTGAAGCTGCCTATCATCATTATGCTGTCAGTGGCAAATCCTTTAAACTGACCTCGTACTCCGTGCAGCTCTTCACTGCATTTTCACCTAGGCCTTAAGCGCATTTCAAACTCTGCTTTGCAATACAGGTGTGGCTCAGGATTTGAGATCTCATGGACTCTTTTGCATTCGGGCAATTTTATCATTTTTTCTTTTGATAATAGCTTCAGAAATGAGCAAGTCAGTTCTTTGCTGGCATTTGGTGGGGCACACTTACTACTGACATGTTAAATTATTTGAATAATGATGTGGAGTAATGCCCACTCATCAATACTATGTTTCTGTTCTTCTCTCTTGCCCCATCTTTTCCTCATTTCATCTGTGAAGCCATCTTTTCCTCATTTCATATGCAATGGCTGAATGCTGACACAGTTCAGTTTCGGTTCTTTTATTGGATATGGAGGAGTTTGCACAGTTGCCTTTAACTGTGAAAGTTTCAGATGAGGTTCTTTTTCCTGATTCACTGATGGTTGAGATCTAAAAAGCTTTTTTTTCATATAAAAATATCAAGGAGTTGGAGAGTAAAGAAGATGAATTGGGTAACAGTTTCACAGATTTTCATAAGCAGCGTTGAGATATAAAAATAAAATATAAGGAATTGGTGCCTATAAGTTCAATTATACGGATCTGGGCCTTTCAGTTTGATTGACAGGTACTCAGAGAAACCATGTGGTTGTCTAAATGGAAAGTAGAAGTGTCAAGCTTTCTAATTTGGCTGGTGGTTTGTGAAGACAATTTTGGCATTAATATACTTGGAATATATTTTTGCTATATACATATTTGATTATCTTTTTCTTTGAATAAGAATATTACTAATTACATTGAAGACCTGTGCCTACTGTTTTACACAACATAAGCAAGGGAATGGGTGATATGCTTAGAAATAACTAGCAATTGTTGGTTATTTTGAAGTCTCCCAAGCTGAGCTGCTTATGACAAGGTTCAACTTTCAGATGCTGTTAGAAACCATCTTTTCATGGTATGTCTACTTAGGTACTCAAATACCAAAACATCAAATTCCTCTTTTTCATGAGGTAATCTTTCCTCTTGTGCCTCTATTTTTCCTTTCCATAAAATGACTTTAACACTTATATGACTCGTTAAATGAGTATGATGTTATTAGAAAGCAATGGTATTATGCAGAATATCACTTCAACAGTTATCTTGTGGGGCTGGTTTCATATACATGCTTTCCTAATTCTGCTTTTGTAGGATTATGACTTGGAGACAGATGTGAACAAACTGAGGTCAAAGGCAGTTCTTGACCGACCAGAGGAAGAGCTTGGACAATATGAAGCAATGTGTCCAGAACTTTCCCATAATTTTCAGGTACTGTCATAATGTGGATTCCTTTATTTGTGAATATTCAAGAGTTTAAGAAATACTTGAAAGGGAGTACTGACAAGAGGTAACTAGATGAGGCTATTGCAAAGGGAAAACTAGATGTCTTACAGGCCTAGAAAACCAAAGATTAAGACTTTTTGTTATAGTTTACTGATGAGAATCAAGAGTGATAGAAAGTGAATGATGCTGTTTGGTGCACGTTTGGCTGGGTATGGATTAACAAAGCACTATTGAATCAATAGCCACATAAGATATCTGTCAGGTAATAATTTGTACCCTTGCTGGCAATTTCAACAGCAATATCAAAATCAGAATGAGATGTAGAAAGTAAATACTGTCAACTAGTGTTTTTAAGGAAGTGATGGAGAAGACTGCACTGCCACTGAGTGAAACGCACAGTTCTAACCATTGTTACATTGCAGTCTGGGACAACAAATGCACTCTTTACAGGTCTTGGAATTTAGGAAACCTGAAAACCATGATTCAAATACAAATCTGTAAAGGATCACTGGCTTAATATATCTCCCGTACACACAATTCTATGACACTTATTATGACCATAAGTAGCCAAATGTGATCAAATTATACTGTTGCATGAAGGTGGGACGGAGTTTTGCATGACAGATTTGCCTCCTTTGCCCTGCTATAACATTTTATATTTAAAGAAAAAAATGCCTTGCAAGTTATCTTCCCTAATTTGTTAGAACTGTTGGTTTTGGTTGGAGCTGACTCACTCCAATGACTCAATCTGATCCTTTTAGTTTCTGAGGACTACTGTTGAAACAGCTTTGTGGATAGAGAAATTCTGGCAGGTGGTCCATGGGCTGATTTTACTCTGTCTGTCTTACTGGATGAGTACAATTTTGGGAGGCTTGTAAATATTTGCTCTTTCTTCCTTGAAAGGTTTCCTCTAGAAGGAAGCACAATCTGTCTTCAGTTTCTTTTAATTTCTTCTGCTTTTTAAATTTAAAGGAGCTTGAAACAGAATCTGAGGAAAAGAAGAGCTTGGAGGACAGAACTGAGAGCCTTCTCTCTGCTCCCTCTCATTCCATTCCAAATGCTACTTCTGTGAAACATCCAAACTACAGATTGAGAAACCAAAGTGTCACAGAGATGGGACCAGATCCAGGGGAAAAGGATTTCAAAGTCCCACTGCAGAGCTGGACAAAGAAGGAGATACGCAGATGGGATCAGACTGATGAAAAGAGAGACATTGCAGAAACAGCTCAAGATGCAGACTCTTGTGAAGATCCAGACAGGAATCATGTGCTTATTTTACGCCCCCTCCCAAAAGATCCTGCTTGGTACAAAAAAACATTTTACCCTGAATGTGAGGCCTTGATCAGTTCTATTGCTGGAGGGAGCCTGGATTGCTCAGACATAGTGACAAACCTGCTGGAGAAACACCAAGGAGATATCCCATTCCACAGCCCTCACTTTTACATAGCAAGGGCCAAATGTGTTAAGTCCATACCAGGCTACAAAGACTTGGCATTCCCTGATTTCTGGGGTCACCAGCCACCTCCTTACAGCAAGCCCATGTTGGAGCGCAAGTATGGGGTTCAAAGGTGATTGTGTTTTGATATAATTACCATACAGGTTAGGAATTGGCGAACCTATTTCCTATCTCTGACATGGACTTTCCATGTGTCAGTGGATGAGTTGTGATGTCTGTGAGTTGCTTTCTATGTCTCATAGGTCAAAGTGGTAGTAGCAATCCTGGAGTGAGATTCTTATGGTTTCTGTGAATCCATGTTCCAAACTGTTACTGATTAAACTAGTTATTGATAAATCTATCAATGTATATGATGGAAATCTGAGCTGGTCAAAGCTCTAACACAGATTTACTAGCAGCTTTTCCTTAACATAAGCGGCCCAAGAGCCAGAATATACTATGAATCTGTGTCCTTGATAGAACACAAATGAGAACAAGTTCGTATTAGAGATGGAGAAGATTCTGTCCTTTTAGGATATGTTTTTGCCTTTAGTCTTGCTCTTAATCCAGTCACCTTTAGCAACACTGGGTCCCATCTGGCTCTTGGAGGACAAATCCTTCCTATCCTCTTGGAGCTGTGTGTCTGTCAGGTTGCTTTCTGGAATCTCCCTGGTCTACCCTTCTGCTGCTGTGTCCCTTCTTGCTGTGTCTCTCACTCTCTGCTCACTCATGGGGTCCTCCAGAATCTTCTCCTCCTTCCCTAGCATGTGCTTCAGCTTCTGGGAAGTCTGTCATGAGCCAGAGAGCTGCAGTGGGGCAAGGTAAGTGAGCTGCTCTCCCTCCCTGCTGCCCAGCTTACTAGGAGAAGACAACATATACAGCATGCAACATGCAGAGAGAAATCAAACCAGATCTCCCCTCTGCCATGTTTTGCTAGAGGCTACTGTTTTTTCCATGTTGTTTCAGACTTTCAGGTGAGGGGAAAGCTGTGTTTTGAAGCTGTACTGGCAAAAAAAGCTCCACTTATAATAGCTTTGTCTGCTCCATGCGTGGCTGTGTACAATGACTTTACATTTCTTTTCAGTGGTATAAGGAATTACTAACAGATACGACAGAGACTGGATTCTGTATTAAACTTTAAATTTGATCAATGCTAATCAAATGGCATTTGTGAAGACCACTAATTCCTGACCTCTAGAGAGATAATGATTCTTTCTACAGCAAATACAAAAGCTGAAAATCTTATTTTAGAGGCAAAATCACTCTACCATCTTCTCCTTGCACTGTTGCTCTAAAAGCATTTATTTTATGACTATAATAACATGTGTAACCATACAGCTGAAATGGGAATAATCATACCATGCTTCAGGGCATAACATGATTGTTGAAAAGGTCAGGAAGAAAATCTGGTATTCCACATTTGGTCATCTTTAGGGATCAGAGAGCTTCCGTTTAATAATGAGTAGAAATTAGCTTGATTTAGAATCAAAATTCACTGTAAAACAGACTAGTAAGTTTATAAGTTATGGCAGATATTTTCTCACAGGGCAAGGCTGGCCATTTGGGAGATTGGCACTGACTGAGAAGAACTGGGGATAAGTCAAACTTGACAGAATACTCTAAAGAATAGGAAATGTACAGAATCAGTCGTTTAGTCTAAAAGGCAACTTGTAATGAGAACAGAGCAGGAGTTTTCTCATGGTAAAAGAACAGCCAACCAAAACCAACAACAACAAAAAACCAACAAATGAAGCTCACCTGGAATTAGCACATGGAAGTCTTCTTTTTTTACCAGTCCTTCAAAAGAATTGCCTAAACCTCTTCATATTTCTTTTACAAGATTATCCTGTACTGAGATTTCTCACAGTATCATTACAATCTACCCTTCTGTTTTTTCCTAGGGACAAAGTACTAGATGATGTTCGCCGCTTAATCCAGCCAGGTGATGTGATAGGCAGAACTGTTTTTGACTTAGATGAGCCCAGGTGAGTAACTCAGATTGAGTACTGTAGCCAGGGGCACTGTCAGTACTGGGTTAGGTAGTGAGCTCAGTTCATCTGTTCAGCCCTGATAAAAGTACAGAAGAAATAACCTAGGAGATAAAGGCCCAACAGGAAAAATATACAGGATGAGTAGATTCCCTGTGTGTGGCTCTGGGAAAAGGATTTGTTGTAGAAGTCACTGGAGCAAAATAACCTTGAAACCTTTTAGACAGAACACGAAAATCTATACCTCAAAGGGACTGTATGGTGTCCCTGGATATGTAGGGATCTGGAACAGAAGCATGCAGGCAGATGCTGGGAACCATACCTATGCATCCAGTTGCAGCCTCCCTGCACCCTGAAACAGCATTTCCTACTGCAACTGCACTTCATTGTCTGTACAGCCAGTGTCATGGTCTATAGAAGTACCCTAAGCACCTACAAAAGGCTTCTGAACACCATGCATCCAGCCTTGTGAATAGTTTCAAGTACTCAACTGTGGCCGGAAATTGTGGTCCTTGAGAAGTTGCAGTAAAGGGCAGCTGAGAGGGTCCCAAATAGGAAGAAATTGCATTCAGAGGAAGGATGAATGACTTGGAGAACATTTTTTCAGAGGAAAAAGAAAAAAGGTAAAGGACAGTTTGAGGTGGGAGAAAGTTGTGAAGTTGTTCAAGATGAATTTAATGGTTTCTAAGCTTTAGAAGGAAAATATATAGATGAGTAAATATATAGATGAGTTAATGTCTAATAATTGCATAAAAATGCCTTGTGCAATTAATAAGCTAATGGAAATAATTCAGTAAGATAGGTAACTGGAATAAAGAAATTAAAAATGAACTGGGGCAAAAGGTGGTACTGGGAAATGAAAAGAAGATGCTATTCAAAATCACTAAGCAAGAAGAGAGAACGCTGCATTGGATAGGAAGATTATGGATTTGCTTACCTATTGCTATTCTGAGAGTCTTGCTTATTAAAAATATTACATATATTTAAAAGCCTGTCAATTGAAGCAACCTGCTATAGTTATCTTTGCTTTGATTTACTGCAGTCACTCAAGCCCAGGTGCTCCAGACTGCCTGACATTCTTCTCCAAGTTTGAATCGGGAAACCTTCGCAAAGCCATTCAAGTGCGTGAGTAAGTACGCCTGTAGCGGCCACATCCCATCCTGCCTTCCCCCTGTGACCACAGCACAAAGCAGTGGAGTTTTCCTGGGTTTAGAAAGGTCTGGCCAGGGAAGCAGGTTATACGATACAATGCCTTCCAACACCTAGAAGTCACGAAGGTACCAGGAGTAAGAAAACAGCTCAAAATGCTTTGATATGACTAACATAGTGAGAGTATTCAATGATGCATCTGGTTACTGCTAGTTTGGTGATGTTGTTTGGCTCTCATGGGATATTAGAGAATGTGATTGTCTAGCCTGCTGTTCTCAGACTGGGGGGGGTGTATTCATGGCCACCGTCTTTTCTGGTCTTCCTTTACAGATTTGAATATGACTTAATTATGAACGCGGATGTGAACAGCAACCAGCAGCATCAGTGGTTCTACTTTGAAGTCCGTGGCATGAAATTAGCAGTTCCCTATCGCTTCAACATTATCAACTGTGAGAAGTTCAACAGCCAGTTTAATTATGGTATGAGTCTTTGGGGAATTGCAGTGGTCTTCTCTTCACATGGATATCTTTTTAATGCTTCAAAGGTTTGGAACTTTCCATGTCTCTAAGTATAAGGGAGGCTGTACATTTAATCTTATCTGCCCTGAAATCCAGTGAAAGAGTTGCTTTAAGTTTGTCAAAGGACCTTTCTTTATCCTTATGAGGACTGAGGTGTAAACTGAACATTGAGATCTGGGAGAGGATTTGTAGGAAAAAAAATATAATTTTTCTGTGTTTAAGGACTGCAATGGGGGAAGAATGCCATTGGGGTTGGGAGAGGGAAGGTAAGACAATCTGTTGGACCTGAATGAGCAGCATAGGATTGGAAAATGCTTCTAAGATTTAAATAAATGTAGATAATCCTCAAACAAATTTTCCTGATCCTTTGGGCTTATCCAGAAAGACATCTCTGCCTTCAGACCTGCTGAGACTTCTGCTGATATTAATGATTAAAAGAAAGATTCTGTTCCTTGCTGTCGTTGAGCTCCTGTTGTACTCTGTGGGTCAGGAGGAAGGCAGCATTGCCCAGAAACAGGCAGGGCAAGTCTGAGCTTTCAATGTCCATTTTAGAAGAGAAATTATTTCTTCTGCATAGGTTGAATTCTTAGCTGGTATAAGCTGCTTTTTCATTTGTTTCCATGGAGCTGAGTTAATTTACACTAGCTTTAGACCCAACTCAGAATGTTTAATAAACCCCTAATATCAGACTTTGCATTCCTCCAGAGCCCTCTGGGTACCGGCTTTGCCATCACCAGGAGAAGTCTCTCAGGATCAGTGTACCTAAAACAAATAGCTCTAGGAGCTGGAATGATTTGTCACTCGTGTTAGTGAAAGTGGCTGGATGAGTGGCATAATGAATTATAAATCATTTGCTCTTTAACCCTAAGGACTGGAGTTCAAGTACTCATGTGGATCCCAAATAAAAATCATTTCTCCCCTTCCCCCTCTAATATTATTCTACTTCCCTGAATTACAAACCAATTCAGTGTGGTGTGTCTGGAATTTTGACATCCTGCTGTAAAACCTAATGCAACTTCTGGTACAGCCACCAGCAGCTTCATAGCTAGAGATTCTGGCTATTATTGTAGCAGCATAGAATGGTTTGGGTTAGAATGGACCTTAAGCTCATCCAGTTCCGACACCCCTGCCATGGGCAGGGACACTTGCACTAGACAAATTCAAAAGAATGTCTTCCCTATATCTAACCTATTGCTGGAAGGCTGCCTGTTATCCCCTAGTTTGGCTGTTGTCAGCATTAATAATCTCATTTTGTGCTCCCAAAACTGTACATGACTCAGATGTTCAAGCGTGCAATGAAAAGTATATTTGGAAGAAAAATGTGCAAATACTATCCAGTGTAATGAGGGAGGCTAAGCCATGGCTTGCTTTTGTATGGCTTGTATGTGCAGTTCTTCTGTGGGTTACTTCTGCTGCTCTGAGAGGGCAGGGAAGCTCTAGCTTATCTGGCTTGGCTGAGCACAACTCACTAGCCCTTCCAGCACATGCATATTTACACACACTGTTGGTAAGAGATGCTGTTTATTTGCTACATTCCCTCTTCACTTTCCTGGGCTAATGCCCATGCTATAATACCAACATCCTCCATTTATGATGTAGTGTCAAAGTGCCATGGGTGGCAGTATTTTACAGCTCCTGGTTACTGATGTGTTTTGATTTCTCCCTTCCTTTTTGCTTTGGTCAGATGGCACCGTCTAACTTCCAAATTGGGAAAAAAGGATATTTAATGAAACAGATGTGAACAGGAGCAGAGCAAGTCAGGAGGTGCAGCCCCTACCTCTCTCTTTCCCCCTTTCCACTAACTTATGCTACCGTGGGAAACAATGGGATTTTTATGATTCTATGATTCATCAGATGTCCAATTTGTGTTTGTTTTCTAAACCTGGATGTTTCCATAGGGAAAGTGAAAGGAAAAAATGTGGTTATTTGGTGGGGTGGGTTTTTTTTGTTTGTTTTGTTGTATATTTGTTGGGGTTTTTTAATTAAAATGAGATGGCAGACCAGTATCAACCATCATTCTGAGGCAGTTTGGGGGCTGTGTCCTTAGGATTCATAGAGAAGAGTAGGAGCTGGCATCTGGGATGTTGAGAGCACTGCACACTTTGAGCCTTAGATCTCTTGTCTGATGAACTGGGCTTCTGGGCAGGCCTGTATTTCTTGAATCTCCCTGTGGCCTCTGTTCTGGAACCAAACACAGAATTGCTTCTTGTATGTGGCTAATGGTGTTGGTTCAGGAAACAGCAAGAAGTCATTCCTAGCTGTAGGCCACACAGCCAAAAGTGAGCTGGAAAGGCATTTCTGCCAGTAGCCTTGCTGGCTCTTAAAGCATTGGGGTGGTTAACAGAGAAACCCAAAGGAAGAAGGGAAGCTGAAAAGCTACTTACAGAAATATGTCATCAGTATTAATGATTTTCAAGCATCACTTGCTCCCAGCACAAGAAGAGTCAAGTGAAAGCTCGGGGGGGGGGCAACTTATCAACATGTATAAGTACTTGAAATGGATTCTTTCCCTTTTGTAAACATGTTTCCATAGAAGTGCCACCAGCATCATTGCTGGTCTCAGCCATGGCTATATGGGGTCTGTTGGATTTGGCTGAGAGCTTCCCAGGCAAGGGCAAGAGCATTATTGTACCTATAGAAGAGCAGGCACGTGTGGAAAGAAAAGGAATAGGAATTTGATGGAAAAACTGCCTGCAGATGGGCTGGCTTCATGGAGCTGTGGGTAATGCATACTTGGGTCAGAGCATAAAAAGCCTTCTGTCTGCCTCAGGGCATGAAATGGCAATATTTTGCAGGTCATGAAGAAGTCATCTTCTGATACAACATAATGTAAAGAATAGATGTTATTGTAATCAACATTTATGGCACCTATGTACTATTTAGCTCTACTGTCAAGTTTAAAACCTTTCAGTTTTGCTTGCTACTTTCTGCAGGTATGGTATTGAATGCTTATCTAATGTTGTGGTAGGATTAAGGTTTCAGTAACGGTGCAGCCAAGCATAAAATATTGGACTAACCAAATAACTGATCTTGTTGATACCTTCATTTCTATTCTTTTCTTTCCCTTCCTCTGTTTGTAAACAGAGAAGCTTGAAGTCCTCCTTTGCAAAGGCATGTAAGATAATTTATTTTCTAATGAAGTCAATTCAGCCTATTTCTTCTGGGGATATTTTTTGTACAGATATGGCTGTATCAGAACAAAGCTTTGGGAATATATTTACTTTGCATAAACTATCTGCAGAGAGAGCAGAGGCAAAATAATGACGGTTCTTGTTTAGTCTCTTCCTCCCCACCCCTGTCTTCTCCAACCAGGGTAGTTGGTTCACTTGAAACTGTCTTGTTTTATGTAGGCATGCAGCTGGTCATGTATTCAGTGAAGGAAGCTCTCCAGGGCAGACCTCGCTGGCTTCGGGCAGGCCATGATATCTGCTACTACAAGTAAGCGCATCTTGGGTAAATGATTTGTGGCTTCCTTCCCCCTCTCCTCCCCTCCTGTTAACTGTATTGATGTTGTTAACCTCTGACCACCAGTGCCACCTGTTTCAAATGTCTCTAAACTGGTGCTAGTTCAATGTGTTATATGCTTCCACCTTCAGAGAACAACTGTAAGTGAGATCTCTATATTAGATGCCTGGGGAGAAACAAGGCATGTGCAGAATTAACTTCCCTATGAACAAGGAGGAGGAAAGGGAATAGGGAGTGCTTGAGCCATGCTGATGTAGCCAGGAATACAAGGAAGCTTAACCTACAGAGATTGGCTTCTCTGCCGATCCAGGAAGAAATAAGCTGGATGGGATCATTGTTTTTCCTTTGCATACACTGCTTTTTATAAGAGATGTAGGAGCTGAGGAGATACATAAAGGTTTAGCATATACACAGGGGTGTTTGGGGGTGTTTATGCATTTATGTACATACACATATATAAATATATATGTAGAAATAAACATAGACAAATACACAGTTTTTTCTTTGTGAATCTGTGTCTATAACTTAGTATCATCATGAGCTTCCCATCTCTGCAAAGCTGGAACTCCAGTCCTAGAAGGAAACTACTCTTTGGACCATGCTTATTGGCACCATGTAGACCTTGTCCTGGTAGCATAAACAGTAGGCATTAGCCTTACTTGCTGTCCCGTGAGAACTTTTGTCTTTCTACTGGAGCCAGGCAACAGGGGCATAAAGGAGTTCCAACAGGCTCAGTGCTGACATTTATGCAAGGTCTCTGCTTAACGCTCTTTCTGCAGAGTGTCAGATCCTCAGAAGAAAAACTCAAGATCAGTCTTATCTTTAACTTGTATCTGAGCTGGAGCTTGACTCACGTGAGAAACATTCCCACTCGGGTACCTCATTTCCATGCAGAAAACTGATCCCTGTTTAATTCTGGGTATTACAGTCAAGGGAGACGAGTGCAGAGCCTGGAGTTTCAGTAGGTTGAATGAGCGCTCTTTTACTTTCTCAAGGCTGCCAAAATGCTATCCACAACACTGATTAATTATTTTAAAGATGGCGATTGAAAGGGCTTTCAGGATTAAGATAATTGCTGTGTTGTGGATTAGAAAATCTGTGCAGAGCTGAAGGCTGGGGAACAGAATAATAGAACAAGAAAGAAGCTGGTGAAGTTCACATACTTCATAATCAAATGTTGCATCATTAACTAACTATTTTATCCTGGCCTTACCTATCATGACCTGAAACCTGGGGCTGAGAATGCCCAAGTGACAAGTTCTACCCCTCTTTTTTTGTTCTTCTCATTATTTTTTCTATCAAGATTCTTATTCACCAATTTGCATCACTTGGTGTCTCAAGACTCTGAGTATTGCCTTAGGCACTGCATAAACAAACCAATATTCTAGTCCTTGCCCTTAAGACCTTGTAGTTGAAGCTCAGGGTCTGGGCTACCCAACTGACTGCAAACAGGCAAGGAAATATCAGAAAAGAGAAAGGTGCTAACACAATTAACAACAAGGATAATTGTCTAGCACGTTAAGTAGTGTTTTCAGGACAAAGCTGAACTTTTCTGATGTTCTAAATGGAATTCCTTCCCTCATGAACTCATGTTTTGAGGCTGATTTTTTAAAACTGATGTGAAATAATGGGTTTTTGCTTTGTAAGACATTTTATTTGTCGTAGTTCACAATTTTGCTGTTTGGTTCAGAGGTGGCTGTGTTCACAAGTGGATGTGATGAGACAATAAACTCTAACAATGACAGTGGGGTGCCTTCCAGGAGCAGCAGAAACTCAAACTCTTGTTGCCACAGAAAAAAATCATCCAGAATCTCTGTTGTAATTTCTTTTTAGTATGTCCCTTTTTGTGTGTGTGGGGGGGATGTGTGGAAGGGTAGGAGATGAAGGTTCAGATCATCATCTCTCAAGCTGGCATCCTGCCTGTAGCAATCTGAGCCTTTGTTCTATTTTGCTCCAAGTACTCTCCACTAACCTTTATTCACCTAACCTTTTCAACCTTAAGAGCTAACGTACTGTGGTGCAGTGGCTTCCCTTTGCATGACTGTAACCTCTGGCTTCTGTGAGCATATGTTTCTGGTTGGGCAAGCTTTATGTGCTGATTACTATAGCAGTGGCTTCTCATGTCATTAACAAGGCAGTTACTGTGCAGTGATTCAATAGCAGCTGAGATTAAGCTGTGATTATACAATTAAGCTTATAATCAGATTCTTGTTCAGAATATGTGAGAGAATTGAGTTTTACTGATTTGGAATATTCTGTGTTTTCTAACTGTACACTGAATTATTTGTCAGCATATTCATCTAGGATAACTAATTGCCGTCTGTCTCATTTACTGCTTATTCCAGGCTTATATGTTTATTCCAGGTTTATATCCCAGTGCATATATGCACTTTCACTCCTACTGAAACTCTATAATGTTTTTATTTCAGTGATTCCCAGTCATGAGAAGTTATAGGTGATGGGGAACATGAAGTACATTTGGGGTTGCTCAGGCTTTGGCTCAGAATAGATCTGATTGTTATAGTGTTTATCATGCTCCATGTGTTTTGGGGAAAGACCTCTTTTCATGGTCATGGGTATCATGGGGTGGGACATTTTGAAGGGAACCTTATCTTATTACTTCTACTAAGAGTTATTCATAAATATGTGCAAAGAGTGATATACCTACAGAAATAAGGAGGAGCTCAAAGTTGTCCTTAATAGCTTTTGCAGGAGGGCTTTTATTGAAAGCAACCTCTGAGCTGAAGGACAGCGGGAGGATAGGCGCGATTGCAAGATGCCTGGGTGATGCACGTTGGCTGATCTTTGCTGACATTCATCTTCACTGAAGATAGGATAGTTCGCTCATAAAGATGAATGTTGTGGCACAGCTCCGTCATCGCGTACCTTTCCCATATGTCTCATGAGAGTTTTTATGTTACAGGGAATATTAGCAGTGCTCTTGTCAGAAGGAAGCAGTGACACTTCTGCTCTATTTTATTGCCTCTTCGTGAAGTGACAGGATACACCCATGATAAACAGAGTTGCAGTTACTATAAGATCATCTAATTCACTCACTGTCTTGGCAGCTTTTATGCACTGAATAATATTCCTTTCCTGCAAATTATTCAAGGAACTATGGCAGCATGCTGAATTGGTGACAGCATGCTTGTGCTTTTGGTTTCATGGCTCATTCTAAGCCTATTATCTAACCTCCAGGTTTTTCAGGCAATAGTCAGTTCACAGATAGTAGTGAGGTACATGAAGTGTTTTGTTCTCACATCACCATGACGGACTTCACTGTTTGGTGACCATAGATGTGTCAGAACTAAGTCTTCTCTTTTCAGCATCTTTATCATTATATTAGACAAAATCATCTAGCATTAGCAGGCCACACCTCAGTTCTAATGATATCTACAAGGGAGAGCTGAGATACCAGTCAGTCAGAGTTCCTGCCTGACCTTTACAATACAACTGAAAACCTTAAGAGCAAGATGGCTGGGGGAATATTCTGCCTGCAGTCTTGACAATAAAGATACCTTAACAAGGATTTGGCCCTCAAGAAGGAAGCTGTATTGTGTGTTTTCCAATTTCCTATGTGGCAGATCCCAAAATAACAGCCATGCCCTGTAAATTGTTAAATACTGGAGGTTTATGTGTTAGTAAAGCGTATTTCACTTGCAGCCACACTTAGAGAGGTAAGAAGGTCGGGGCATGTAAAATGAGGACACAACACTCCAAGTGGTAGAAGAATTCTGGACAAAGGGACCAGTGATAAATAGTTTACTTCCCACTTGGACTCTGTTTTGAAATGGCCTAGAAATCTAGGATATTGGTATTTTCTTTGGCCATTTTAGGCTAAGCTGATATAATGCCATATTCCATCACCCACCAGTGTTTTGCACTGCAGGCAGGAAGTCTAAAGACGAGATGACCAAGAGATGTTCTTGTATCGCTTGGTGCTCTTGAATTCCTGAGTCACAATCCAGCTCCTTTACTGACCTGTCTATATCTTTGGCCAAGTCGCCTAACCTGTCTGTGTCTCACTTTTACCCATCTATAAAGAACAGAAAATTAGAGCTACTTATCTGCCACCCAAAGAATGGGAATAGATAAATGGGAAGGAAGTTTTAATTAGATAATGTTTGCAAAGGTCTTTTAAGTGCAAGGAATTATTGTGCAGAGTAAGTGATAAGTAGTCTTATTATTAATTAACTCTCCATCACAGTGATGCTAGAAATATGCTACCTGTACAGGATTTCTGAAGGAGAACAGAAAACAAAATGATTTCACTATTACAAAGTGACTGAAAGGCACTGCAGATACAGCTTGCATGCTGATTTATAAAAGCACACTTTGGCCTCTTGTTTTCTTTCCAATAATCAGTGTATTAGTTTCTAGATGACATGTGAGGCTTTGAACACTCTGAAAGAGAACACAAATAAGGTGGTGAGGACTAGATGTTGTTAGGGTGTCTTTTTCCTCCCCTCTTCCTTGCTTGTTAATTTGGTCTTCAAGTTGATGTGGTAGAATTTAGTGATGGAAGACGGGTGAGGAAATAAAACAGCCTGGTGGAGGAACAGGGAGGCAATAGAGCCATCTTGGGGCGACAGCAGTAGAAGGAGGCAAACAGGAAAAACACTATTTTTTAGGTTTCTTTTGAAAAAGATTCAGAGCTACTGCATTGTTTGATGGATTGTGAGGAGACCAGATCATATGCAGCAAGAATACGTGATCGTTTACACTGTGTACACACAGGTGTTTTTTCTTAATGCATGAGTGAAGAATATTAAAGCCTCACAAAGCCACCTGCAAACTTCCTATTACTGCCAGATAGTTTGCTATAGATTGAAGGAGGTGTCAAGAAGTGATTCAGAAGTCTGGAAATATCTGTTCTGGGCGGGTAGTTTGCTGCAACAGCATCGGTTCTCAGAAGAAGAATGAAATGTGTTGCTAAGCAGTGTGGTGAGATCTCTGTGCATCAGTTCCCTCGGGATCATGCAGTCTGAGCACAGCCAGGAGTATGACCATTGATAACAGTGTAGCATCAAGGTCAGAGGTGTCTGGTACTGCAAAACCTCTGGATTAAGTGGCCATTTCAGGCAGGAGAGACATTTTTGGCTGCAGAATTGCAGAACTTAGAGAGAGAAGCCTTTAATGGAGCATTAGGGGCAGTTGAGAATAATGTGTTTGTAAGATATTCAGGCAGCATCTGCCTGCAAAAACTTGGTTTGTCCCTCACTTCTACCTGCAAATGTGAATTTGGAGGTGACAACTAAGAGGATCTCTGCACTTTGTGACAGTTCTTTGTGAATAAGGTCATCTAATCTTCCAAGTCACACTGAGTATAATAGAGGCCATGGAGATAACTACTTTCTTTAGGCGCTGTACAAGAAATGGTTCTCAATTATCCTTCACTGTCAAAATTAACAGGAACTTTATTAAATGTCATCATTCTGAATTAAAAAGAATATCAAATCCTAGATCCACCAAAGCATAATAAGTAGATGTTTCTATATGCAGGTTCATTGCTTTTTTTTTTCCTCTGAGTCTTTGTCCCATATGAAGGGTGGGTTATTTGCAAAAGAAATGTTGGGGTGAAAGGTTTAGCCGAGAATAAAATCATAGGGTTTTAGTCTGCCACTGTGACTTCATGTTCTTGTACTCTCTGTTGCTCCAGTCTGTATCGCTCACCCCGCATGATCCTAACTATTTAAATTCAGGTAAAAATCCAGCAGAATTGTATTGTTTTGGAGAATATGACAAGAATAATTACCTTTTCTCTCCACCCTTTTGAGTAAAAATGAACAGAGGCAGAATAAGCCAGTATTGTAAATTTCAGGAGCTGAAATTGCATCTTTTGGTTGCCTCTTCTGTTTTGCATTTTAATGCAACATTGATGATAACATTTGTCAAAGAAACCTCACAGTCCTTCAGAATCAGAAGCTTTGGCAACAGCATAATTGGTGCAATGTGGGGAAAAAATATTGTTTGAAATGTACTTACGCATGCGATTTTTGCTGTGAGGCTTCTCCCTAAAGTGCATGAATTGTCTCTTCATCTCTGCTGAAAGAAAACTTTCTTGCTCAGCCTAAAGTCATCTCTATATCAAAGTAAGTCTCCTGCAAGAGATCTGGTCCTGGAACTCGATTGAGAAGTTCACTTTAAGATCTCATAGATTTAATGAAAGGGAGTGTCAAGGGCCTGAATGCACTAGGAGACCTTGATGACCCTAACCAGCCTTGGCCAGGGTGACCCACACCCTCTGTCCATGGGCCCAGCAGCTCTAGTTGAACTACTTAGTCCCTGTCAGAGCTATGTTGTAGCGAGTCTCCAGCTCAGTCAGTGCTGTGTCTATGCTTTGCTATCAACACTGGTGACCTGGATCCTAACCCATCGACTGACCTCCTGTCTTGATCCATACCTGCCTCATCACCACAAGCAGTCTGATGATCTGGATGTGTGATTGAACCTGTCTGCCATCCCTAGCCATTCTCTGCTCAGGTACTGTGAGAGATGACCCTCAGTGGTGAGGCCCCTGCCCTAGTGGCTTCCACATCAAGGTCAGCTCCCATCTTTTAGGGAACAACTGCCCTTGCTCTACTCCTTGATGGGGAGATGCTCAAGTCTTTGAAAATGAGGATGCAAAAAATAAGAGTTTTTTGGGTAGCTCGCAACCTGCAAATTTGTATGAAGTCTTTTCTCCTCTGTATGCAGTCTCTACCAAATACACTCTCTTCCTACTCAGCAAAAGCCTTTGATTACATTTGAAATATGTTTATGTATGTCCTTTTTTATTATTATTTATTTAATTAATTCCTGGAATATACCTTTCTCCCTGTGGTGGAACAGAATGGTTGGTTTGGTAGTGTATTCATATTTTCTGTATCTCCAGGCTGTCACAGAATATATTCACATGGCATTGTTCAGGACTCTGAATAGGTACCTGCATCTCTGAGCAAGATAATTTGGATATCAGAAGCAATACAGCAGTGTTAGCTGAATGTACTAATCTAAATACATCTGGCTGTGTTATATGAGCTAGTATTAGCTGGCTTCCTCCTCTTATTTGCACCTTCAGAAATGAAACAAACTGTTATTTTGCTGTAAGAGTGCTGCCATCCATCAGCAGCATGCGACTGGCTGTGCCCAGTACTGCCACACATGGTTCTGCTTCTTAACTCCCTCTTAGTCTTTGTGCACTGTGTGAATCCCAAGACGTCCTTGAATCTTGGTATCAGGGTACTTACTATCATGATCCTATTTACGCCTCTGTGTAGTGGAACCATGGTTTCTCTAACCTCCTTGTTTCATATAGTCTGTAGGTTCACTGTTGTGTTACTGAATGCTCACAGTGAACTGGATGCTCACTGTTGTGTTACTGGATGTGCACAGTTTAGCGCTGTGTTATTGTTGTACCTAGGATTGGGTTGGTTGTACTTGCATGGGGCCCTCCCAGTCTTTGTACAATGACTGGTTGAGTTTGAAGCCCATCTATAGTGAGATGAAAGCTCCTTCAGGGAGAATGCTTCTCTGAATGCTTAATTCTCTCTCTTGGCTACTCCAAACGTGCATCCAGAATTGAAAATCATCTACTTCCTCCCTCTCTGTCTTCTTCCAGAAACCACTACCGCTGCAGTGCAGCTGCAAGACAAGGTGTGAAAGGGCATTTCTACTATACACTGGCCTTCAGCATCAAGTTCCCTCATAAAGATGATGTCTGCTACCTGGCCTACCATTACCCCTATACCTACTCCACAATGATGGTAATACTGATATCCATGTAGATAACAAGCTAACGGGCCTGATGGGTCAGCGCTGCTTGGGTCTGTGTAGATTCTGAGATAGTGTAGAGGACTGTTTTCCCAGGCAGGTAATGATCAGGATGCTGTTACTACCTTGTTTGCAACTGCAGCTTCTTTGAGCTCTGAAGCCCCTCTTTGCAGGAGAAAAGAATTCTTTGTATGGGGTAAGCTGGGGTACAAGCCATTAGTGCTTATAACAGTTATAATGCAAACCAAAGTTGTCTCCATTTGCATAGCTGTAAATTGTATTACTGAGTTGACAAAGTTTGCTTCCTGGGGAAGGATTTGTTTTCTGCAGCCCTTTCTGGCCAAGGGTGGATGGTAAAGAGTTTTCTGGGAAAATGCATCCAACATGTTTTCTCAGTGATTGAAGTAGGAGAGCCCATGGTCTGAATGGAAAGTAGGATAAAAGAAGGGAAATGAGTAGTTCTGGGAGTAGCTTTGCTTTGTGGTTGAAGATGAGGAAGATGTTACCAAAAATGAAGATGCACAGTCCCAGTGGATTAGCTCCCCTTCCTTCTCCCCTTAGTTTCCACTGTTAACCCTTTTTCTTCTGAGCAGCAAATGCTCGTGTGGGTTGGTAAAGTTGGGCTTACTCTATTTTTTATAATGGTGTTAGTTTGCCATTATCAGATGTGAAAGATTATGCTTTCAAGGAAGACAATGTCCTCTCTCACTTTTAGCCACGCTCCCTGGCATGCCAGCATAATTAGGCTTAGATTAATTCCCGCTCAAACAGCAGTCTCTTTTCAGCTGCTTTGCATCGCATTATAGATGTTCAAAGAAACTGCTTCCAATGTCTGGGAGAGGGCCAGTCAAGCCTTCACAGTCCAAAATATGCCTGCCAACTCAGTCATTAGGCTTATGGGTACCAGTTACTCCCCAAAATCAATGAGGAAGAGAGTATGCACCAGTAGTAGGGTTTGACCTATAGCTTTGAAGGAATGTATATCCTATGGTCTGCAGGGGAAAAGACAAATACAGTACTGAAGAATTGGATGGACTTATTCACCACCATACTTGATTACTGAAATGTAGTGCTTCATCATTATTTTACTGTTATTGATTTCTATCTTCTGCTGGCACAAAAGCAAGAGAGACTTGAGAAGTTTGTATGCTCTGGGAATCCCTGAATATCTCACCTGCTCCTGAATGAATAGAATAGAGATGAAAAAGGTGTTATTCCTAGACTTGCAGGGCCAAGTCTTGAAGTATTTCACTGCCTCTTCAAATCAAATGCTTATTGAAGTTAAAGGCAATTTTGCCTCAGGAAAAGTTTAAATGAACTCGGACTCAGTAAGGACCACAAAATTCAGTAAATGGGAATTATGGATGGGAGAGATTGATAGATTGTCATGCCCAGCTCTTTAGCCAAAGCAAAACTGTTGCCTCTAATAATTTTAAAAGGTTTCTTTGCTTGGACTAATTTAAAATGTTGAGTGATGCAATTTACACATTTCCATGTTACTTTAACTTCCACAGCAAGTAAACTAAATCAGGTTTGTCCACCACTAGATTTCATTAGAAAGCATTTGTCCACTGGTGAGGTAAGTTGGCTTTACATACCAGTAATAAATTAAAAGTTATTACAAACCCAAGGGCTCAAATATATAGTGCTTTGGGGAAGAAGATAAATTTGTCTATGGAGCTACTGATATGAAAATGTTTTTAAATAACCTATATATTTAATAGTTACAGGCATATTTAGAGTAAATACATATCACAGTATCCTATTTGAACTGGATGCACTCTGCAGTTCATTACTTTTTGCCCATTAGTAATTACATTTATTTTATGAACAGTAATTCATCTATTTTTACATCATAGTGTTTAATTGTTTGGATATCTAGCCGAAATCTCTGTGGCAGCTATACCCAATTAAGTTTCACTGGGTACCAGAACATAAGTAAATGATTATATTGAGTTCTCTGTATCTATGAGAGAGCTAATAATTGAATTTACTTTATAGAGCAGTATGTTAATTGTTTTATAGCATAGATGACTGTAAATTTCAGTCCTGTGTTTAATTTCAAATGGAAACTGGGAAAGCAGTCCGACAGACAGCAAGCTCCAAGCATTAAGCGACCTGGTCTATTGGAAGGTGTCCCTCCTTGCCCATGGCAGGGGGCAGGCAGTGGAACCAAATGATCTTTAAGGTCCTTTCCAGCCCAAACCATTCTATGATTCTATGAATATCTTGTCCTATAAACCTTGGTTAAAATTTAGCTCTGACTTGTTAAGACAAGGGTTGTTCAGTGAATTGGTGTGTTTTGGTTTCTGTTAGGACAAGTCTGCAAACTTCACTATATCCATTTCTAGCAACTAACAGACAACTTGTGTTTCACAACATTTAGCAACACCCTGTAATGGGACTACTTACATTAATCTTGCCATTTGCAGTGTAAACAGAGAGAGCTACACGTCATCTGGTGTGTGGGTGACAAGTGGCTATGTGTCTAATGAGGAGATCAGAATTTGTTCCAAAAATGTTTCTTTTTTTCTTTTCTTTTTTTCCTTCTTTTAAGCTTCCAATTATTTTTTCTCAAATTTCTCAAGGAGCTTTTGGACAAAAGTGTCTTTAAAATTTGGGGGGGGGGGGGGGGGGTGAGGAGAGGGAGGAGAAAATCTCCTTTTTAAATAACTTCTTGGAAAGACACTCTTCAAATTTCCCACTCCTGGTTGTACAAAATGTCCTTTTGATGTAAGCTTTTTGGCTGCCTCTGGTGCGGAGTTGTTCTGAGTTTCACTGGCACGTGCTTGACAGCTAACCAGTCAGTCCTATAAAGGCTCAAAGCTGGTTGAGTTCTCTCACATTTCTTATGAACATACAAGTCCCTATAAAAATATAAGGAGCAGAGAGCTCTCTTTTGGGCTTTATGTGTGCATGGAAATTCCTTTCTGCTAGGAACTGTTTAGGTAAAATCATAGAATGGTTTGGGCTGGAAGGGCCTGTTGAAGTTCATCTAGTCCAAGCCACTGCAACAAGCAGGGACATCTTCAATGAGTAAATAGCCCTGTGCATCTTCAGTGAACTGGGATATATTCTGAATGGCTGGTGCATATCTGTGAGGTGTAAAAAGTGATGATATAAACTGGCAGAAGAGAGAAGCTGGGAAGTTAGCAAGAGTGAAATTAGTACCCATAATAATACACAGCTAATGGAATCAGATTTTATAGACTGTGAACTTATTTATAAAGCTGCTTCCTCACTTCTTCCTTGCTTCTCAGTCCCATCTTGATATCCTGGAACGGAGCAGGAACCCCAAGAAGGTTTACTGGAGGCAGCAGACGCTCTGCCAGACGCTAGGAGGAAATCTATGCCCGTTGCTCACAATCACTGCCATGCCAGAATCTAAAAAAAGAGACGACTTGGAGCAGTTCTGTAAGTAGCCAAATGAAGCATTAAAAAAGGTGCTGGTGAGCTGTGGTCACACCAGGAGTGACAATGACATCCTGTTTTGTGAATATGGTGATTTTCTTGCCTTTCTCATTTTGGAAAAAGAAATATAAATATGGGGCACAGCCAATCACAATGTGCTTTTAAGTTACAGATTTACAAGGGGGAGGGAGGAGAGCTGATACCATTTTTTACTTTGAATTTTTCTTTCATGATCTGAAACAAAGTTCAATGCCAAATATCTCCAACAGCAAGAAACACTGTTCAAGTAACCAAGTAACCAATCCAACAAGAATCTGGTAGTTTTTGGTGGTGGTGCTTTTTGTGTGTGTATATCCTCCACATTGAAATGATTTGGATATAAGGAGGAAATTATTTCCTGTAAGGGTGGTGAGGCACTGGAATGGGTTGCCCAGGGAGGTTGTGAATGCTCCATCCCTGGCGGTGTTCAAGGCCAGGTTGGACAAGGCCTTGGGTGAGATGGTTTAGTGTGAGGTGTCCCTGCCCATGGCAGGGGGGTTGGAACTTGGTGATCTTAAGGTCCTTTCCAACCCTAACTATTCTGTGATTCTGTGATATATTTTGAGGTCTCAAACTTGCAAAATACACTCAACCTCACCCCTCTTTCCCAGTTGTGGACAACAGTTAAAGTGTTCTGATGAAATTCCAGCTCTTCCAACATGCCAGTAGACCTATCTGGACACCATACAGCTTCTTGCATTTGGTCCCAGTACTAACTGATGATGTACTATCTGATGGTAAACATTATAACTGCTATATTCTATGTAGAGGTGGATGTTTGCCACTGTGAAAGTCAAAGACTTAGACCTTCAGTGGCCTTGATTAACGAGATTAAGATATGCAAGTTGTATTCAGCAGCAAGTGATAATATGCTGGTTAGCATTGTATTGCTTAGCTTTGATTTGAGAGCCTAAATAGCTGCTTATATGTAGGTTGGCTTTCTTATGTCAGTAATAGGCATAAACTGATTTATTTAATATATTTTTTATCTCTGCTTTTCACACATCCATAACACAAGTTAAAAACTTTGCAGGCATGTGGAAATTTAAATTATCTTAATATCTTTTTGGATGTTAAAAGACTACATATCATTACCTCACTGAGATATTAGGCTAGAAGTATCCAAAGGGATTCTGTGTTATGAACCACGCTTCCCACTAAAGCATTCTCTTTCCAGGGGTATGTGGTGATATGTGAATAGGAGTCCTCATAAAGTCCATGCTACATAAAGGAAGCTCAAACACTGGAGAAAATTATTGCTCTCTTTCCTGGTTCAGGTTTAGAGTACAGTGCAGTTATGCCGACATTACAGTGCAATCTTCCTGATCTCATACATTTTTATTATAATAATTTTATTATAAATTGAGCATTTACCCTGAATTAGCACATTTCTGAGCTGGAATGTGCTTTTCTAAGTTGAAATCTTAAAGCCAAATTGCCCATTACACATGGACATTCATAAGGTGCATGCACATAGCTTTAATGGTGGGGACTGGAGGCCCTGTCACAGAGAAAATCAGATTGTAGTGTTACAGTTATACAATTATTAGCATTACTTACACTACAGTAGCACGTACAACACATGAATAGGGGATTTGGCTGTGGTGGGTGCTGTCTATGCCTGACATGAAGAGATCATTCCTGCCCTTTAGCGCTTCTGTTCCATGATAATGAAGATATAGAACAGAAAACCAGTGGGTGGGAGCTGTGGTTATATAAAGAAGCCTTTGGCACGCTGCAGGTGATCACCTGGCTAGATGGTAGCTGTCGACAGTAATTTTTAAACCTCATGGCAGAAAAGCATCATAGAGCAGCTGAAAGTAAGTTGGAGTACTTTATTTGAGGATTGCAGCCATCCGTAAGAGACGTGCAGTGAACAAGCTTTTCTGCCCAAGTGAGTATGCCTTCCCAATGAAGGTACAAAGCAAAAGCTAAGCTAATGTTTGAATGTACCAGAGCAAGGACTTAGAGTGGGTCAGCAATATGATGAGTGAATGCACTAAACATCGAAATTAAGCACCTTTGGCTTTGAAAGGATTTTCTGAAAGGTACGTTTTGTCATAGGAAATCAAAGCAACATCCCCAGGTCTGCAGTCATGCAGATACAGTGATCAGGATGAAAAAAACACAAGCCTGTACCAATGGAACTAAAGCAAGAACAGTTAAGCATGTTTTCACCATTGGCACCAGGGACAAGAGGAAAACATAATTTCATATGCTTATAATATGCTAGATTTTCTGCCATCTACAGTCCTTGGGGCTAGCCCTGAACTGAAAGCTTACTGCACCAGGCATGGTACAGAATGGCAGGATGCCCTCTGTGTATGCAGGATGTACAGTCCATACTCAAGGCATTGAGAGGCACAGATGCTGAAATGAGGATCACAAGGAAATGACAACACAGTACTGAGGAGGTCAATAATACCCCCAGAGTCACACTTCTTTTAAGGAGTATCGAAATATAAATGTGACTATATTAGAAGGTGCTGTCAGTGTCTGGAACACTGTATTCTCAGAGTGTATCAAGAATGCATCTTCAGTGTTAAAAGACAGTCTGGCAGGTTTTCCAAGGTCATTAACCCATGAAGACAAGCCTTATTCAGCACAGGTTTGCTGAAAGAGTCATAAAGGACCTGTGAACAATTTGGACAGATACTTGTTTCAAAAGCCTCAGGCTATTGTAAGATTCAGCATCTGGGTTCAAATCCTAGTTATGTGGCTGAAGTCATCTTTATTTTTGAGAGAAAGAAATACCTCTTGGTTTATGATATTATATGCATTCAGTGGGAGCCTAGTAGTTCTAACTGAAATGCTATGAAATCATGTGCCACTGAACAACTCTTTTGAAGCTTTGCAATGCAATGTGATTAAGGACTTCCTAGATCTATTCATGAACCAACTGAGCACAATGAAAACCCAGTTGGCTGAACTGAAATAGAAACTGGGGGGAAAGACAGTGTTAAGGCAACACAGTTTCTTTCCAGTCTCAAAGACTATAAAAGTAAACACCAATACTCTTAGGTGATGAAAATATTTGTTGTTCTCTCAAGTGGAAGAACAACAAGGCAGCATAGCATGTTTCATGCTGTGGGGATGCCTCTAGGCAAATCTAAATAATCACGTCTGTGCTTATGTTGTTTAAGCAGCTTGGATAACTATGGCTTTTGGGGGATGTACTTAGCCTAATTTGTGCTGCTTTGTGGGGCTTTGATCAGCAGTTACTTCTCAGTTTCCTTGTTTTGTACGACATGCCCTTCCCTCTCTGAAGTAGTTTGGCTGATGGAAAAACCTATTTGTCAATATTTACCATTCTAAAAACTTAAAAGCAACAAGTTTGGTCCCTTCATATTTAACTCTGGGGGCAAAAAAACTCACTCTTAATAGTAACTGCCACTGGTTTGTATAGTGTCCATGCACACATAGCTCAGCTTGAGAAGTGGTGCGGAGCAGCAGCACTGGGGAACGTGGCACATGGGTAATGAATAGAAATTGATAGCCCTTGTTGTCTCCTTCTGGTTGTGGCCAGTTTACAGTTTTTATGAGCCACAGTAATTTTGCTTTCCAATCACATTTGTTATTTCTCCTTTGTACGTTTGTTAATCTGTACCTTGAGAGGTTCTTTTCAATAACACCACTGGCGCAGGTAAAACGGAAAGCTTGCCAGGACTTTGTAGCTGTTGCACATGATCATATTTAAACACTCTAAATCCTTCTCCAGTACAGACACGTGGGGAGTAGGAAACATCATTGATGAAGAGGTCCTGAGGGGGTGAGGAGTGTTGGGGGGATGGAGTTACCAGCCCCAGTGGGAGTGCAGTAGGAAGGAGCTACTGTGGTACTGGAGGAGCTGATAGGGTGGGAGTGGCGCAGGGACAGTGAGGGCATGGCATCCTCTTTGTCAACCTTACTTTATTTCCCTTGTTCAACTCTTTTGGATGGGTCTTGTCAGGCTTTTGATTAATGTGGCCCTTGGATGGTTGAATTTGTCTAAGTTAAATTTATTAATGTGTGCCTTGTTAATAGGAGGCACAAGCCATGTGCACTCGCAGGCACTGCACATTCACCGCATACTGAAGGGAAGAAAAATGGGCTGCTGTTTGCCTTCATTACACCTTGTTTATATGAGGCTTTGATATTCACTTTAGGCTCCTTTCTCCCACCCCTTTATGTGATGGTCGTGTACTGAAGGACTTTTATTAAATGTTCAGTTCTTAAACTGATATGAAGAAGTGAGCCAAGAACTTTCTCACTCCCTGTGCTTTGCATCTCAAACAACAGCTCAGTTACAAACAGCACAGCTTTCAGTTATGCTTGATCAATGTCTCTGGATGTCCAAAGACTGCAACAGAAACTGATGCTGGTCAGAGGTCCCTGCTGGGCTTTGAAGCTCCACAGACTTGTACTGATAGAAATTGAGAGGGTCTCTCTTGATCTTTTTATTGTGTTTTAATCTTGCCCTTCCTGCCCTCACTTGAAGACTGAGCACCCAGCAAGAAGGGATGTCTTCACCACTCACTCAAACTGCTGTATCCCCCATAGTCTTGTGATAAAACCCTTAGTTTTCTATTCTGACTACGGAGGAAACACCAATGATGAGACAAAGGGACTGGATTTTTTGGCATCCTCTTTTATCTTCTTTACTGTGTTCCTCTTTCCCTCCTTATTCCTTTCGACAGAGTTAGACTCTGCAGATTAGAACTTCCATGTCTAGGCAGACATTTATTCTTTAGTGACTTTGCTCCTGGCTATGTTAGGTCCATCCTTAGACCTTGCCTGATAAAAGTTAAAGGGACTTTCAGAGGGAGAGAAACTTCTCACATCTTTCAGAGCATTCTCAAATACAGAAATGGTGAGAATGATAAAGCCTTCAATCTTGGTGCCAACAACCTGCTCAATGAAGTTAATAGGTGCTTGCAGATCTCTCATTTTCTAGGGTTTGCCATGCACAGCCCAATGAAGGCAGT